AAAATTATATTTAACAAATTATATATTAATTTATTAGGAGAGAACAATAGTAATTGAAGAAAGGGAGTCATCACCAGGAAATTTGCAGAGAAGTTTCTTGATCTTTTTGTAGCATTTTGAGCACTGTAGGTCCACTACATTCAGCACCATTGTTGTCACCTGTAAAAGTATATGAATATATATATGTTCATTGAACATCGATCACTATTAGACAAGGAATTTAATTTCAGAAAAAGGATTAATTACGAGAAAATTAAGATTAGGGGGCCATATATATGCATCAAATCAAAATACAACACTATATATATATATATATATATATATCCTTAATTTTCATCAAGAGCGAGAGAGGTACAGCAGCCACAGAAAAGAAAGAAAGAAAAAATGTAGTATAAATTTAGCACGCACCTCCTCGGCCATTGCTGGTTTTTATTAAGTAGGGCTCTGGTTTGACGCGCTAACAGTTGTCGATTGTACTCGTCCATGTTAGTTTTTCTACTAGTGGGTCCGATCGGGCCCATCTCTTTCTTTGCACATGCTGCTTCTTATTACTTTCACCTTTTCATAGAAAGCTAATCAAAATCCTTCCTCAACTGCACCAAAAAATATTAAATTATATAGCAAAATCCTAAAGCACACGCATAGGTAGAGCCAGAAAAATAAAGTGGGGAAAGGCAAAACTTTTGTTGACAATTTTAAATAATTTTTTATGAAACTAGTTGGTTTTTTTTTTTTTTTTAGAATTTTAACAAAATTAAGAAATGAATATATTTTTTAATTTTTTATATAACTCTAGTATTTTTTTATTAAATTAAATTTTTTATCAAAATGAGAAACAATATTTTAATTTTAAGTTATGAAAATAATTAGTATTTATTATTTAACAATTTAAAATCAACTTATAAATTTTGATGTTTTCAAGTACATTAGCAATTGTGGATTGGTAAAATTAAATAAAATATATAAATTTACAATATTTTATGTGTCAATAGCAAATGATTGTGTAACCATAAAATCGCTTGTAACTTGTAACCGTCATTTTCAATATATATATATATATATATATTTGATAACATGAGTAGTTATATCTTTTACTCCACTACTTTTAATTATAGACACTTGCATATCATTTCATTTATAAGTATCAAGTAAAATTTTAACCTTAAGGGAAGTGGACATAACTCATTGATATTATTTGTACACAAATAACATTAAAAGGATTTGAATCTACATTTTTAACATGATCATTCGAATGACTCATTAACCATTTTAGCATCATCATAAACAAAACCCTACATACTTGTCTTAACAACGCATTGGACATGACAGCCACAGTAACATAGGGCCCAAGGCCATCCGCTACAGCATTTACAATAACAAAACCCCTGGACTTGCAGATCTACAGATACTTCCACATGCTTTTCCTTAGGCGGAGTCGGAGGAGGAGGCGGAGGCGGAGGCGGAGTCGGCTCTTTGATCTCAATGCTCTTGATGCATCCACAACCCTTGCAGCATAACTTGTCCCTCATCTTCTCCGGCGAGCAGCTCACCACCTTAATTGTCACCTTGTTTGCCTTCTCATCATACTCCTGATCTCGTATTTCTTTAATTAATTTGTGCAGAGCACAAAGACTCAGTCCATTTGGCTAATCAATTCATAAATTGATATACGTATATCGTATGTACAAAAATTATATTTAACAAATTATATATTATTTAATTAGGAGAGAACAGTATTAATTGAAGAAAGGGAGTCATCACCAGGAAATTTGCAGAGAAGTTTTTTGATCTTTTTGTAGCATTTTGAGCACTGTAGATCCACTACATTCAGCACCATTGTTGTCACCTGCAAAAGTGTGTATATATATATATATATATATGCCATGCAGCATCATTATTAGACAAGGAATTTAATTTCAGAAAAAGGATTAATTATGAGCAAATTAAAATTAGGGTGCCATATATATGCATCAAACCAAAACACATAACTATATATACATATATATATCCTTAATTTTCATCAAGAGAGAGAGAGAGAGAGGTATAACAGCCACAGAAAAGAAAGAAAAAAAAATGGAGTAGTATAAATTTAGCACAAACCTCCTCGGCCATTGCTGCTATATGGAGAAAATTAATTGAGGCAAGCTGGCTTTTATAGAGTAGAGCGGGCGAGGGAGGGGTCTCTGGTTTGACGCGCTAGCAGTAGGCAATTGTGCTCGTCCACGTTAGTTTTTCTACTAGTGGGTCCGATCGGGCCAATCTCTTTCTTTGCACGTGCTGCTTCTTATTATTTTCACCTTTTCATATAAAGCTAATCAAAATCCTTCCTCAACTGCCCCAAAAAATATTAAATTATATAGCAAAATCCTAAACCACACGCATAGGTAGAGCCAGAAAAATAAAGTGGGAAAAGGCAAAACTTTTGTTGACAATTTTAAATAATTTTTTATGAAACTAGTTGGTTTTTTTTTTAAAAAAAATTTAACAAAATTAAGAAATGAATATATTTTTTAATTTTTTATATAACTCTAGTATTT